GGGGGGGGCATGGGTGAAAAAGGATAGAAAGGGGGAGGGAAAGGCAAGGGGTACAGGCAGGGGTGCATCTAAATTTGATGTAACACTGAAGCTGTTCCACAGGTCTCATTTACATACAGTAACCATTGACTATGCAGGGGTTTTGTCAATTTATGGGGTGTGAACGTATATAATACTTTCTGCTCATTGAAGCCTTTTTTTTCTCCTTTTCTGCCTCAGGTCCTTCGCACTCATGTGATGGTGCGTGTTGGAGGGGGCTGGGACACATTAGAGCACTATTTGGACAAGCATGATCCGTGTCGCTGTGCTGCTTTTGGTGAGTTCACTTTCTATCCCCTGACTGTCAGGCCTTTGAAGACAGCATCATTGCGGTGGTCTCCAGTAAATGGTGATGAGGTCTCATGTACTCCTGAGACCACTGACAGTCACTGAACATTTGGATGCTATCTAAAGAAACTGTAATTCAACATTCAGATTTTAGAGTGCTAAATTCTTACTTTTGTTTATTATTTTTTTTGATTAATCTTTTGCCAACTTTCTTATTCTCAAATCACACCGCCACAGTCAGTCACACCGCAACAGTTGATCTGAGCGCAGACATTCTCACATCCAGCTGCTAATTTAGGTTAAGAAAAAAGTTGCAACCTATGCAGTCACACTGACTTTGATCCAAAAAATATCCGTAAAGCAGCTCGTCTTGACACCAACAAAACATAACTAACCCTAACTGCGCAGTTTAAAATCCCTTTAATTGAAATGTAATAGACATTATCTTAAGTAATGGCTTTTTACACAAGGGAGGGATTTTTGGCACACTATATTTTTCCGTGGTTGAAAAAAAAATTATAGGAAGAGAGATAAGCTTCTTTTCCTTTCGGCTTGACCCTCTTTTCAGGGGTTTCCACGGTGAATCAAGGTTTTCCATTTCACCCAAGGTTTTCCATTTCACCCTGTTCACCCTCTCTGCATCTTCTACTCTTCATGTCCTCCCTCACTGCATCCATATATCTCCTCTTTGGCTTTTCTCTTTTTCTCCTACCTGGTAGCTCCATCTCTAACATTCTTCTACCAATGTATCCACTGTCCCTCCTCCGCACATGTCCAAACCATCTCAATCTGGCTTCTCTAGCTTTTTCTGAAACCTTCCTGTCTGTGTTGTCCCTCTAATGACCTCATTCCTGATCCTGTCCATCCTTATCACTCCTAAAGAGAATCTTAGCATCTTCAACTCCGCCAGCTCCCCCTCCTGTGTTCTGCCTATTGCTAGTGTCTCTAAACCATACATCATGGCTGGTCTCACAACCATCCTGTAAACCTTTCCCATCACCTTAGCTGACACTCTTCTATCACAGATCACTCCTGACACTTTTCTCCAGCTGTTCCATCCTGCCTGCACTCTATTCTTCACCTCTCTTCCACAGTCTCCGCTGCTCTGAACAGTTGATCCTAAGTACCTAAACTCCTGCACCTTCACCACCTCTGCTCCTTGTAGCCTCACTATTTCACTGTTCTGCCTTTCGTTTACACACATGTACTCTGTCTTGCTGCGACTGACCTTCATTCCTCTTCTTTCTAGTGCAAACCTCCACCTCTCTAGGTTCTCTTCTAGCTGCTGCCTACTCTCACTACAGATCACAATGTCATCTGCAAACATCATAGTCCATGGGGACTCCTGTCTGACCTCATCTGTCAATCTGTCCATCACCACAGCAAACAAGAAGGGGCTCAGGGCCGATCCTTGATGTAGTCCCACCTCCACTTTGAAGTCTTCTGTCCTCCCAACAGCGCACCTCACTACTGTTGTACTATTCTCATACATGTCCTGCACCAAACTAACATACTTCTCTGCCACTCCTGACTTCCTCATACAAAACCACAATTCCTCCCTTGGCACTTTGTCATATGCCTTTTCTAGATCTACAAATACACAATGCAGCTCCTTCTGACCTTCCCTGTACTTCTCCATCAACATCCTCAAGGCAAATATTGCATCTGTGGTACTCTTCCTAGGCATGAAACCATACTGTTGTTCACAAATCTCCACTTCCTGCCTCAACCTAGCTTCAACTACTCTTTCCTAAATCTTCATTGTATGGCTCATCAACTTTATCCCTCTGTAGTTGTTACAACTCTGTGCATCACCCTTCTTATGAATTGGCACCAGAACACTTTTTCTCCACTCATCAGGCATCTTGCCAGTCTCTAAAATTCTGTTAAACAAACCAGTCAGGAAATTTACTGCCACTTCTCCTAAACACTTCCATACTTCCACTGGTATGTCATCAGGACCAACTGACTTTCCACTCTTCATCCTCTTCAGGGCTTTTCTAACTTCATCCTTTCTAACCTGATCTACCTTCTTCCTACTAGTCTCTGGCTCCTCGTTTCTACTTTCCCTTTCATTTTCCTCATTTAACAACTCCTCAAAGTATTCCTTCCATCTTCTCAGCACACTTTCCTCACTTGTGATCACATTCCCCTCTCTGTCCTTAATCAACCTCACCTGCTGCACATCCTTCCCAGCTTGATTTCTCTGTCTCGCCAATCTATACAACTCCTTTTCTCCTTCCTTTGTTTCCAAACTCTCATACAACTCCTCATATGCCTTTTGTTTGGCCTTGGCCACTTCCCTCTTCACCTCCCTTGTCCTCTCTTTGTACTCCAGTCTGTTCTCTTCTGTTCTGTCACTGTCCCATCTCTTCTTCGCTAATCTCTTTCTCTGCACACTCTCCTGGATCTCCTCATTCCACCACCAGGTCTCTTTGTCCTCCTTTCTCTGCCCAGAGGACATACCTAGCACCTTCCTACCTGTCTCCCTCATCACTGCAGCTGTAGTCTCCCAATCATCTGGGAATATCTCAACACTACCCAGAACTGCCCTTACTTCCTTCCTGAAGTCTTCACAACATGTCTCTTTCCTTAGTTTCCACCACTTGATCTTCTGCTCTGTCTTCACTCTCTTCCTTTTTGTCACCTCCATCGTCATTTTACACACTACCATCCGATGTTGTTTGGCTACACTCTCACCTGCCACCACCTTACAGTCTCTAATCTCCCTCAGATTACATCTTCTACATAGAATATAATCTATCTGTGTGGACCTGCCTCCACTCTTGTAAGTCACCCTATGTTCCTCTTTCTTTTGGAAATATGTGTTTACCACAGCCATTTCCATTCTCTTTGCAAAATCTACCACTGCCTGTCCTTCTACGTTTCTCTCCCTAACACCAAACCTGCCTATCACTTCCTCATCTCCTCTGTTCCCTTCCCCTACATGACCATTTAGGTCTGCTCCAATCACCACTCTCTCTCTCCTGGGGATACTCTCTACCATCCAATCTAGCTCCTTCCAGAACTTCTCCTTTTCTTCCAACTCACAGCCCACCTGTGGGGCATAACCACTAACAACATTAATCATCTCTCCTTCTACTTCTACCTTCACACACATCAACCTGTCTGACTCTCTTTTCACCTCTACCACATTTCTTACATATTCTTCCTTTAGGATCACCCCTACTCCATTTCTCTTCCCATCTGAACCATGATAAAATAGTTTGTAGCCTCCTCCAATGTTTCTAGCCTTGCTGTCCTTTCACCTGGTCTTCTGAACGCACAAAATGTCTACTCTTCTTCTCTCCATCATATCAGCTAGTTCTCTACTTTTCTTTGTATTTGTACCTACATTCAGAGTTCCAAACTTCAGACCAACACTTCTATCCTTCCTCTTTCCTCTTTTTCTCCAAACCAAATGCCCTCCTCTTCATCTCTGTCTTTGACCAACAGTAACCCAATTTCCACCAGTACCCTGTAGGTCAACAGCACTGTTGGCAGTCGTTTTTGACCCGGGCCCCCGACCAATTCAGTATGGAAATTGTTTTACATAATAATTAATTCACATTATTGATTTGGAAAAGGTTTTACACCGGATGCCTAACCTGACGCAACCCTCACCATTTATCTGGGCTTGGGACCGGCACTACAGAAACACTGGCTTGTGCACCCTAGTGGCTGGTTTAGGAAGAGCGATAAGCAGATAATTTAAAATGATCATGCAAGTACAGCTGATGCTGAATTATCATGTCATTTGTTGGAAAAACTAAAAGTACTGGGGTCATTTGTATTTCTTAAAATCCCAAGAAAAAGGAAAGAGCTAACATTACTTTTCCCTCTGTTTGTTAGCAGTGATAAAAACATACAAATTAAAAATGAAGAAAAGGTAATACATTCTACTTACAGTCCAAAATACTGATATGTTTTATTTAAAAATGAAAAATAACAGTTTTTCCAATCATGTCTGTAGGTACTTCCACAGTCCTTTAAAGGACTCTAACTCCCATAATTCCACTGCTTCCGGTAAATCCACATACCTCCGCAACCTTTAAATTGGGGGGTCAGCCCCAATATCAATCTCTCTGTTCAGGACTTTCGCTCCGTAGGACCCCTGATGAAAAGAGAAACCTGCTCGTCTCAGAAGAATAAGAACCCACAA